GAGCGTCGTCCAGGAAAGCCGTGGTGCGCCGGAGAACGAAGCTGGCGGTAATGCTGGTCATGATACTGAATGGCGTCTAGGGTTTCGAGTCGCCGGGAAGGGGAGAGGGAGGAGAGAGAGAAGGCCGTCAGTCGGCAAATGGGAAGTGGGAGGAAGAGTATGAAGAGTTCTGTGGAGTATGGAAATTAGGGCTGGTTCTTTCAAATTATTACGCAAATGCCATCTATAGTTCGTTGACAAAAGTGCAAAGTGACGGAGAATTACATAAAAATTCTCAAATAATTTATTTTATTATTGATGTGTAAGCTGGTGCGGAGCCAAGAAGAGTTCATGGTAGACAATCAACTATCTTTAAATTTAAATCTTTATTTATAGTAGAAGTCAATGAGGTCTTTTAACTCTTCTAAATTATGAGTTTTACATTTTTCTTTTTAAAATATCATTTTTTTCTTTCGTTGCTCTATTCCCTCTCTAACGTTGGGTCTTGTAGGACAGTTTACCCAGCCAAAAAATAAGTCGATTCCGCCCCTGTAGTATAATTATATTTATAATTCCAGTTTTTTCATTATAGTAGTGTTAAATAGAATTTAATTTTGATAAATCATGTAATGAAGATAGGGCTCATCCACAATAGAATAAACATTTAAATCTCACTAATTTGGATTTAATAAATCTATATTTAGTGCATAATAGAAATGAACATGAAGAAACATGAGAAGAACATGAAATATTTCAATTTAACAAAACATTAGATATTAATTTCTTTTTTTTTTTAGTTGCTTTGCTTGATTTAAATGAAATTCATTTCTAATTTTCTTTTTTTTTTTTTTTGTTGCTTTGCTTGATTTAAATGAAATTCATTTCTAAATCATATTAATAGGATGCTCTCAAACAATGTTTATGAGGTATATAAATTATAAGGAAATTTTTTAAGTATAATTTTGATTTATTTTTTAGCTTAAAAACAAATGTAGTGATATTGAGATTTTTCGTTTTCTGGGATGTGAAGGAGAGTTTGGGTTAGCACTTTGTGGCAGGAATGAGGATAATGTGAGAGTTGAGGGTATTGATGTAAATTGATTAATTTAAAAATTCGGCGGCAAGAACTACGTTAGCTGCTTGGACTTTATGCTGCCGGCGCCGGCCTGCCTCTTTTCTGAGCTGCCACGTGTCAATTAGGAATATTTTTTAGCGTACCTATGCTTGGTATTCCCTTTCGAGGAACCACCTATTTTTTAGAAGTTTATATACTAACAATTAAAATTTAATATTTATACTTATACCACTCAAATCTTACATATCACTTCAAAAATATCAATATCAGCTAAAATACCAATGTCTTAACTATTGAATTGACATTTTATGCATAAATATGTATGTATTCGTGTGGGTAAGAACTGAAATATAGGCATCATGCATGCCAGCAAATTTATGACAACTAAGTGATCATTTAGTGTTTTAACGTTGCACGAAAGTTTAACACTAAATAAAATAATAACAATAACAGATATATTCTTTAGAAGATTTTATGTGAAAAACCTGAAAGGAAAAAAACCACGAGACGTAGCCCAGCTGAATTGATCCACTACGAGTTTTTTATTACACGTCCAACTGAAATGTTCCTATGTCGAAGAAATCATTGTGCAACAGTCCAGAGCGTTCACAAGATCGTTGGACATAAATGACACTGGAATTCATCTCCTTCTCCCAATCCTCCTCCATGTTTAGGTCTTCCTTTAGTTTAAGGTTTAGGCTCTCTTCCATGAAAAGGTTGAGATTTTATTTATAGAGTATGGGAATGTGTACAACTAGGGCTGTCAAAACGGCTCGTTGTTTGCGAACAACTCGTGTTCGGCTCGTTCGCTAAGTTAACGAGCTAAACACAAACAACAAAAACAAAGACTTGTTCGTTCGTGTTCGGATCATTTTGGCTCGAAATACTAGTAACCAATTATATATATATATATATATATATTAGTTTTTCTTTTAAATTTAATTGACGATGAGGCTACAAAGATTTATAATAAATTAAAAGTATCAATTAAGAAATAATAATAAAAATTATTAAATTAGATTCAAATGCTATTTTATTATAAACAATAATTTTTAAATCTTGCCTCGATCCTTAGCATCTTATGGCTACGTGATTAGGGTTGTCAAAACGACTCTTTGTTCGAGAACGACTTGTGTTCGGCTCGCTAAGCAAACAAGTTGAGCACGAACATACTTTTTGAGCTCGAAATATAGACGAGTCGAACACGAGCTGAGCCTGGGCTCGCTCGTGTTCCGCTCATTTACACCCCTATGTACAACTTCAAATAAGGAAGAATTCCAAAACACTCCATCAAACGTCCCAGAGAAACTCACTTGATCAGATAACATTTGTGGACACATTAGTGCCTTAAAGATGACACGTGGGCTTGTTAGATTTGCTTCGTCAAAACGCTCAATTTGACTACGAAATTGTCAGATCTGAAACTTGTTTGGTCTTCCAATTGGTCACGGGAAGCCTTCAAAAATAGTTTAATGACTCAATTTAAGTTTGGTTTGACTCTGATTGGGTCAATCTTGGTATTATTGATTCTTTGTCAGATCTGAAATTCGTTTGGTCTTCCAATTGTCACGGGAAGCCTTCAAAAATAGTTTAACGACTCAATTTAAGTTTGGTTTGACTCTGATTGGGTCAATCTTGGTATTATTGATTCCGTCTCGCCGAGTCAGTTTGACCATAAGTTTATTGAAATCTGGATGACTTTTAATTAGAGTTTGAATGTCTCCCGTTCAAATAATACGTCAAGATTTGTGCTAATCATTTCGAGATTCTTTCCAAATGATAAAATAAAGTAAAAATAAAAAAATAAAAAATAAAAAAAAACACGAACTAGCTGTTTGATTTTTTATTAAATATCCATAGTATTTACAGATATACTTATAAGATTTTTTTAAATATCCATAGTATTTACAGGCCCATAGCATTTGAATAATTTTTTGAAAATAAAAATACCATTCAGAAAATATCATATGAAATTAATAAATTTGCATTATGAAAATAAATAATGAGCACATTTCTCTAATTTTCAAACGCATAAAGTCAAATATCCCTTTCAGAAATCTCTGCATATGTGTCCATGGTTTTTTTCTGTTACAAATGGAGAATTGAAGTTTTAATTTGAAATTTTTGAATTTTTTAAATTAAAATTATGTGTAATTTCTTGCAAATTACTTTAGAGATAATACAATTAATAGATAATAAATATTGCACAAATAAATTCGATCATTTAGTTTGGCTCGTAGCTCAGCTCGAATGGTCCGATCTAATTTCAATTCAAGCTAAAATTCGATCAGATTTTCGAGAAACGATTTACGTTCTTTGAGCCAATTTCACAGCCCTACTTATCACAACTGAACTAAAAGAGAAGAAAGACGGGAGTTTCAAAGGCGAACCAATCGAAAGAGCATAAACATGAGAGTTTCAGAAGTCTTTACACTCATCGTTCGGAAAATTCTTTCGGACGACAAATTAACGGAGCAATAGATAATATGAATGTAATATTAAATTTTTGAGTGGTACATATGAAAATTAATACGAATTAAGTGGTATATATGCAAATCCCTCATATAAATAATAATAATAATAATAATAA